TTATTACCCATTTGTCATTACATCTTCATGATCATTATTGCCACCCAAACACCAGCATCCTTGTTTAATGCACATCCAAATAAAACTTGTGTCCTACTATTCAACACTACCTGAAGCAACAAAGGCTCCAATACGTTGGCCGCATAAAAAACCCACTATTTCAAAAGCTTATATAACCTGCCTGAAGTAATATCAAGCTGTCCAAACGATTGAGAGAAGAAATTCACGCCAAAAACAGGAGACTAGATCTGGCAAACTGGGTGGAAATTTTTAGGCAAGACCAGTCTAAAAAAAGACAGGAAGAGGCAGGAAAAGCTGCAGCATACCAATAGTGGGCTAAATCCTGGCAAAATTAAATTCGGCTCCCACTACCTCGACAATTACCTATCGCCGACCCCGAAACCTGAAGAGCGGCCAAATTCTATCATAACCGAAAGTAGGATCATTGGAAAATAAGTCTCTAGGAATCGCCATTTCTACTCCATCGAAACCTGATAAGGGCTCAAAGCAGTCAAGCTATACAAATACGAGGTGAGCACATGGGGCTCAATCCATATCTATGTAGAAAAAGAGTACTCGGAGTCTATAATCCAAGCTGTCCATGTAGCTACCAATTGCAGAACCCCAAGCACATGATCATGTCCTGCCCTCGATGGTCAAATGGAAGAGGAGAGATTTGGAGACAAGCCAAAGATCGATCCTACGAAGCTATGCTAAACAATCCTGGAAACATCAAAAGGATAATACAGTGGATCCTAAATCATGGTTGGATAGAGCAATTCCAAATGACAAGGGCAGTCGAAATGCTGCCGAGGGATAGGAACAGGTCAAGCCATTCTTGAGGTCGGTAAAGATGATGTGATTGGCTAACATAGAGGGCACTATAGTGTATCTGCGCTTCCTGAAGGATAAATTAGAAAAATAGAGACAATATACAGGATGTTTTGGGTGGCTTACACCAAAATATTTCCTCCCATGTAAATTAGAAAGTGTGATAGACACCTGCATGGGCCCATAGGGCGCCAAATCAGGACAATGACCTAAACTTCAAAAAATAGGACTGAAATAAATATAATTTTACATTACTGTATACGTTTGAATCCGATTCCTACTAACACGTTTACTCTTTGCCTCTGAATATACTAGCAAGGAGGGCACCAAACTACCCAAGTCGCTCAAAAACCATTTGCCCGGACAGGCTGTTAGTTGCTAGACTAGGCTAGGCTAGGCTACTTCACGGCATACGTTATTGACTGAGATCTTTCTGATATTCTTTTACGGCCCTTGGTTTGTTCGGCGTCACGGATAAGGAGAGGCTTGTTGTGCTTGAGTGCTTGAGTGAAGAGATATATGGCGATTAAACGACTCTTCTGTCATTTGGTGGAATGGCACAGGCTCTTATGCCACGATGACTCGCGGAAATGGCACGATGGATACTGAGTGCGCATCACTGTGTCCAATGTATTTCAGTAGGTATCAAATGTAAACTCGTATTTATTGAGGTTCTAGGGGGTATCTGTAATGATAGAAGTGAACGTTGACCGTCAAGTCAATACTGGACTAATCGTAAGATATTAGGAATTTAAGGATCAGAGATGAAAGGTTAGGATCAGTGAGGTTTTTGGTTTTACTGAACTTATATTTAGTTAAAAGTGTTAGATTTTAATCTACATCTAATTATCTATCTATGTTCTACCTCGCTTAGGTAAAAACATTATGTTCTAATTACGTGATGGAATAACATTCACACCACCGAGATCATTACCAACCGAGGCCTCATCAAAGCTAGTAGCGATCAAAGATGAGTAGTCTTCATCTACTCCGCACTACGTGCAGCTCGGTCTGGTATACCTAGATTTCAACAGTACTTACAACGGTGATCTATGAAGGAGATAATCGATGCGCAACCCAGCAGTTGATAATATTATGTAATGGATGATATGAAGAATGATTTATTTGGACATATTTTTTTTTCTGTATCAGATTTTAATAGCGTATGTAGCTAGCTAGCGATGACAAAATATCAGAGGAAATTGCAGAAAAGATGGTTCAATAAACAAGAAGAGCACCTGTGCCTCGGATTTTATTTGCAAGTAATACTGCGAATGAATGAATTAAATTTTATTCGTGACGGGCACATACCTTGCACTCAAAGAGCATGACACGGAGAAGACTAGCTTCTCCGACGACTATATACGACGATAACTCAGTTTAACATTTAGACTACTCATGTAGTAGGTGCATTCGCTGATACCACTCGAGACCTTGGTGCTAGGGACTTTCACCCTTCCCTCAACCGTTAATATCCACTAAAGTGAAAACAGAAAAAACATTGGCTACCCTAACATGCCTTTACCATCTTTTATATAGCTGCCCCGCGAGATATGGCCTCACAGTCCTCCCTTTCTCGGGTGAATTAGGTGTCCAGGTTACCCAGACTCTAACTGGTGGAGATGATGACCAGGAGACGGACCAAAAAATCTTCTATCCTTGACTTATTTTAGAGTATCAGTTGCACTATCTGAAATCGTTGCTTCCGCGCACACAGACACCCTTAAGTCGAAAATACTCGAAAAATGTGCGTCCCAGCATGCCCAATTTGTGACCTCTTCACTCGTCCGTCCCACGTCTCGGCTGCCCGTCCTCCCCCAAAATGTGGAACCCCATTAGAGCAACAGTTCTCATGGATCCAGACCCGAGCTTTTTAGATTATGACTTAATTTCCTCCACGCGGGTATACATAGCATCGTGATTTTGTAGTGGGAGATAGCCGATTGCAATTGAAGGAACGCCATTCTCGGTATTTGAGGCGAGGAGTTGTAGTAAGATTTAACGGGAGGGCTCGTGTGAATGATAGGTCAAACATTTGTCAAGTCGTCGATTTTTGACATGCTTGAGACTGTGTTGTGGTTATGAGCTATGCGGAAGTCACATTGCGGAGTGATGAGGAGTGGATGATGTTATAATTTGTGGTTGACAGTGAGTAGCCTCATACAATACTATGCTGTAGGTATATGGACAGAAAGTATAAGACTAAACCTGTGTCCATTTATTGTGGGTACATCTATGAAACTATACACATGCTCGCCTAACCAGTACACTAGTGATGTATACTGTGGCCTTGAGCCACACGCGATGCCCTAGCCTCGACTACCTCGTTGTCTCATATCATAACAGACTGCCTTCGACTTCGATTTGGAAGCGATTCTTCTTGGCTATCCCATATATGTAGAGCATCATGAGCGTTTACACTAGCACCACTGGAAGGTGAAGAATTCGTCTTTGTCAATAGTACTACTGCGAAGTTGTGGTAGCTTTTTCTTCACCCCAAGTCAGCCCTCATCCGTCAATATCCACCCAGGGAAACGTCTCAAAAATCCTGGTTTATCCAGACATGCCTCCATAATCCACTGAATTCTCTCCGCGCGAAATATACTCTGAGGTGTCTCCTTTCCAAATGGAGTAGGTGCCCAGGCTTCTCATACTATACCGGAGAGCACCACGGAGAGGTAGACCACGGAATTCTCCACAGTTGACTTTTTTTTATAGTGTCAGCTGCACTCTCGCAAGCGAAGTCTTGGCGCGCACAAATCTCAATTCTTAAAACTCCTTGCTAGACTTCCAAATTTCTCACGTTTCAAGGCTATCTCGTCTTTGCATCATCTTGCAGATTTGTTATGATCTCCCTCACTTCCATCCCAAAGAACTGTCTCCCAGATTTGTGCGCCACGCTTTGCTTCCTCCGTCGGGTGTAAGTATCGGCGCGAGCGTGTATTTGGTGGTCAACTGAGGCCAGAGAAGGTCGAAGAGTGGTGTGGTCATTGGAATGAGGATGTACTTAGTCGTACTTGTTGACTTGATGGGACTTAGATAGGGGTTGATCTCCTTGGGAATGAAAGATTGACATAGTGGAGCATTTTGAATCATTTTCTCGTGGGCTAACTTCTTTGATATTGCGAAATTTGACTGAACATGGCTCTGGGAGAATATTTCTCTCCCAGGTTCGTAGAGGACGCCGCATATAATTGTTCAGTCTTGCCCTCCGAACCTTGGGATTACTGGGGTGGCGTAAATGTAGAGTAAATTAAAGTTTCCGCTGTACGCAACATGGCTCACCCTCTTCTACTGTACTGAGGCAACGCATTAACGACTTGTATATTGCGCATTTCTCTTGCGAAGATCGCTGGGCTTGGTGAACTATTCTCGGGTTATCACATCTAAATGACCCTACAATTTTAGAGCAGAACGCCGATAGAATCATCGCTGGTGGACAAGTTATTTTGGTGGGCCACGACTGATCGAAACAATGTTTTCTAAAGTTAAACGGAGGCTTCAATATTTTAAATTACCTTGTACATAAATGTAGCCACACTTTTAAGCTCTAAATTTTACCAAAACCCCAATTTTTTTCACCATAGCGGCAATACGCATTTTTTCGAGAAAGAAGTAGATAGTATATCATGAACTACAATTTAAAGAAATCAAAGGAAATCCTTGAGGAATTTGGGACTTGTTGCAGAGTGGCTTGGAGCCTGGCAACCGTTCATACCGCACACCTAACCTCTGGTAACCATTGTTCACTGTAAGAATATGGAAATGTGCTCCTTTTCAAATATTTAATCTTAAGATAATTTGTTTGGGCTTTATGACTACTCTGATAAATTCATGTCGCAGTTTTGGTGTAATAACAGTTATTCTTTTGCCCTTGGATTTTATAGATGAGCTGCATTCAAGCAGATCAAAAACATACAAAGATTTGACAAAGTGTAAGCTTGTGACTGATTCAGCCATGATAGAATATCCTTGTTATAATGGCTATTTCCTCTCATTCTACTGCACAATTTTCAAAGGTTCGTCGAATTTGGTGTAGAATAATCTAAGTATGTGTCTCACTACAGAAAATATAATATCTGAGAACTCGAACATGAAGGTGACACTGCTTCGGATACTGTTGGTGACCCACCTTGCTGTCTCTAAGCTTCGATGAGTCTCTTGATAATCTATCGATTTAACGTGGTGGTTTCCCCACCAACTCTTGGGAAACTATTCCTGCTGCTGGATCGACTCTGATAGACAATCTCTTTGCCCTCCATAAGCTTCGCATTTGGAGGTGGTTGAATCATCCATCGGGTCTCTCCAATACTTAAAGGTGACATGCTAACTATAGGAGGGTGTAAATCGTTTACGGGTGGATTCCGTATGTGATAATTCGGAGTGGGGCTTTCGACCCCATTTTTCTTTGTCAGACCAATCATGTATACATCGCTTTCTGAAAGCTGATCAGGCCTTGGGGTATTTTGCGTGCGTGTCTCATGAGTTCTTGGTACTGTACTTGGAAGTTCATGATCTCCCCACAAGAGCTCATCTTCTCTTTGGTAGCGTTGTATATTCCAGCCTTCAAGAGATATTCGAGAAAATTCTGCCATAACTGTTGGTGTACTTGGAGTTTCTGAGTTCTTCGATATACTTTCGGCGTAGCTACTAGTCTTATCATCGACCTCAGGTATCTGATGAGCTCTGTTCTTAGGCCACCCTCTATCATTTTTTCTCGCTAGCCTAGGGCCCATCAATATATCCTCACTCCAATATTGGTTCGTAGAAAATGGTGATGGATGCCGGTATAATTCAGGATTCTTTGCTTGTGATGCATCCTTCTCAGCTCTCTCGCGCTTTGCCTGGGTCTTTATTCTTTGACGATGATTGAATTTAGCGCAGGTTGAGCACGATAAGACGTAGAATACAACTGACTGGAGAGCAATATTCAATGACATCCTCCAGATAAATTACTGTTAGCTCGAGAAGTATCAGGAGCTACCTTCAAATTCTATGCGAATAAGGGCTCAGTTTAAGAGGTATTACTCCTAGGATACACTCATTCAGAGTTTCTGAAGTAGCTGACTTTGAATAATACACATAGTATTCGGTTCTTGAATCTTCAGTCAGTTTCCAGAAAAGCCACGCGATTCAAGATGATCCTTTACCATTAAAGTGGCCAGATTGAAAGGCTGTATTATCTATCTACAACCATGGATTACTTTGCCCTGGTTGAGGGAGTTGTACGACCTGATGAGGGAATTGCATAGGCTAAGTTCAGCTGAATATCTTTGTCTAAATCTTTCGATGAATTGCTCTGAGGAGCAGCCAGTAGCTTATAGGCATTAGTGAGATTTCAGTTTGAAGATGTGAATAAATTATATTTGTAGTTCGAGGAGACTAATAATCGATATAATCATGTTTGATGTAATCTATAGCAATGTATTTTAACAGCGGGTCATTTCCACTATCATCCTGTAGGGCATTCTCCGTAATGTGCAACGGCGCAATAGCCGGGATCAGGGGGTTAGAAACCATAACTGATCCCGGAATTTCTGTCCGACGAGTCCAAGTTAAATAGTAGAGAAATCGATCCGAATGGGACGTTACTAATCATCAGTAGCAAATGATCAAAATTAATTTCTCATCTTGGAAATAAGAAAACTTCATTCTACTACATTGGCGTGAATTGTATTCTGTAACAAGTTGGATTGTCTTTACCATTTCAACCAAGGCAAGCTATATATCAGCCGCCGTCACCATCGTATTTATTTATCCGTCTCTTCCTCTCCCTGCCTTAATAAGCCCGTGGAATCCCCTCACCTCGCTGAGAGGAGTGGATATTTAATGTTAGTCCAATATGTCATCATATATCATGGTCAAATGAACACTTTTTGGGGTAATAGTTGTTAAATTGGGGTTTTACAGAAGACGAGAGAGACAGTTTACCACCTGGAACATAGGCATCCTTGGCATACGGACAGAGAGAAGCTATAAATCTCATGTGGTCCTAGGCTGAGAATGAGCTGAAAAATTCCTTATCTTATCTATAACACTCCGATAGGCGATTACCTAACCTGCCACTAAGCCCTGCCACAGCCCGCCTGCTCCATCTAATTTTTCCGATAAGTTGCCCGATAATTAACCCCTCAGATGATTTGTCTGTCGTAATACAGTTCCTCACATTTGCAACTAGGCGGCTATACCTTTTTTTGAGGTTCCCAAGAAAAATTTACCTCAACTACAACAATAAAGAATGAAAGTAAGTATCGCACAATTTCCTCTACAATGGGGGACGAATGTTTAGAGTTTAAATTTAATAATCAAGACGCCTCTCACACTTTAAACTTTATATTTGAACCTTCCTAAAAATCAGATCTACAGGGTACGAAGACTAAACACCTATCGGCAGTGACTCCTACGAAACCCCAGCTCTTACTGTAGAGTTTACGAAGTCCGAATTCAGTTTAGCACTAGTAACGAAGGCTATTATTTCTTTAAGCAAACAGCATTGTCCATATATCAAGACAGAACTAACGAGTCGAATTAGGCTAATATACTACGTATACTCTCAACCAAGACTCTTATGGTATAATATCGCGACATCTACTTTGTCTTGCAAATTTCACTAAAGGGATTTTGGGGGAAGCCGGAGAAAGAAAGAGCCGCTTCTTGGCTGGGAACAGGTTAGCTCTGCCCGGCTATGCGGTCCCTATAGTCGCTTCTAACAGCTAGCCATGCCTTCGCATATAGCTTTGATGTCGGTAGTGGGCGAGCCCCGCACCCAGCGGGGTTTGGAAGTCATTCCCGGCAGCTATATATCCGCAGATAAACTTCGCTTAGTTGGCTGGATAGGGGAGATGGAGACAAAATGGCGACTTGAAGTGAATTCTTGAACACAGAAGAACGGGGCTGTCGTAGGTGTACAGAGGCCATATGACTTAAATACTACAGGCCTGCAGGCAGATAGACCTGTATGATCTAGCACACCTCTAGGTACAATAACACGTTAAATTAAATGTAACCAAATAACTGTTAGATATCTGAGCGCAAAAATTGGGCTAAACGCAAGGTGATGAAAGTCCCTTGAAAGGAGGCCATTTTCAACACCTGTAGGTGATCTCACCTACGAACCTCTAGCTCTCACTGTAGAGTCTGCCGAGCTGAGATTGAGCAACGTCCTCACTTAGATTAGGATTCCCAATTGCTTTCGCGGCGTGTACTGTCTCCATCTATCATTACAACTCCCTATCACCATGACCATGAAGTTGACCGCCATCAGATCAGATTACAGGGTCGGAGCCCTACTCATCACCAACCCTTGATCATGGAGAAGTCATCCGATGAGTTTCCGGAGCGTACCCAGCTACCGATACGGAGACGGTGGATTGGATCAAGACGGCCTCGACTGTTACAAAGAAGGGAGGTATAGATGAATATGCGCACCTCATGTGGTCTCGATGACTAGGCCTCGCCTGGCTGGGGCTGCAGGTTTTTTGAGACCTTTTCTTGCGCACATAGTTTCCATTCATATCTTTCCTATTATTTTTGGGTAGAAGATTTTTAAAAATGGTGTATGAATCGGACGGGCAACTACTAAGATGAATAGCTATTCATTACGGGCATTATATCAGAGATAAATTTTGGACAAGAGTGCAGGAGGACTGTACATGATATGACCTGGATCAGAGAGAAGCCCAATGAGCTAGATTTTCACAAACTCAAGTAATACAAGAAAACCAAATTATCGGCTCTTGATGAGCCTCACGTAGCATCTTTAATATTGAGGAGAAAATCCACAGATAGTCGATCCAAATTAGCCGTGAACAAAGTATAGTATTTGAAAATTGACTGTAATAAGCGTATTTGTAAAGAAGATATCTTATCAAGTGCTTGTTCTCTCATTTTTTGACCTAAAATGAGCTTTAGATATCATTTAATGGAAGCAAAACTTTATTCATATATTGAAATGTTTTTATCCTCGAAGACTTGACCCCAAAGTATAAATATCTTTAGAGAGGATTGGAATAAATTTGAAGTCTTCGATTGGCTAGCCAAGCGCAAGGTTTAAAGATACATGCCATCTTCTTCCTCATTCTTTTTTTCTACCTTAGATTGCTTTTCATCCTTTTCTAGAAGTATGCTATCGTTAATAGTGTGTTCTTTACCACAGGTTTGGATTAGGTTATTTTCATCGAATGTTTGAGGTATTTTTGTTTTTCCATTCATGATACTGCCGGTCGTAAAAGTTCCATCGAGCCAAGCCTCACTCAGGTTGCCCTTGAGTCCCGCAAATTTTAATGATGTATCATTTAATGTCTCTTCTTGGTCAAGCTTTAGATTTTCACTTTTCTGAAACTCTTGCCAGTCATGTCCTCGTTTTTCAACCTCACTTTTGAGCAGTAGAATTCTTTCCTGCATTCTGGAAATAACGACTTCATTTTCACTGATGGCGTCTATGCAGTCTTTATCTGGTTTTCCATCTAATGAACTTTCGCTGCCGTCTGCAAAAGGTTTGAGTTGCTCATTTGAATAGTCTAAATGAGCTACACTGTTTCTCAGCTCAGCCGTTTTGATCTGAAGAGTTGATAATGGTAAATCTTTGATGGCATCGGAAAAACGGGCTCCTGAAATCGGGGAGGCTCCCTTTGACATTTCCAGACTCAAAAGCTACCTTGTGGATTGAAGAGTCGTATGTTTGCGGGGGATTGATGGATATGAGATTGGCTAGTGCTGAGGTGTAATAATTTTTGGAAACAGCCCCATAGGCTGACAGCCTTACTTACCTCATCTCCCAACATACAATCTGGTTGACGAAGCTCTTCAAGTCCTGTCACTGTCTTTTATCGCAAAAATTATCAAATTTAAATCAGGCACAAAAGTATATAGACATTGTCATAGATCATTTTATTTCTGTAAAAGCATCAGTATTACTCATTGTTGCTGTAATCTTATTAAAGAATTTATACCAGTGCCTTGGTGACTTCAACACATTATAAGCCTGAGGCTACATCTAAATAGCTCAGGGAATTGATTCCGATCCGCGTACACTGAACATAATTGACAAAATATTGACCAACTTTCATTTTGAATTTATCATGAACAAGCCATGGTTTAGATTTCTAAAAAAAGTTAATATTATCACTCCTGTGACTTGCAGAAAGCTTTATCGAGAAAATGGCCTCACTGGGCGGCTCCAAACACACTTCATCCAATCATTTTCCCCTAGCTCTCTACAGTTATATCAATGGAGAAGCTCAATTTACGATAAATACCAAAAAAGCGTACCAAATGTATTTGGATTCTGTGTAGTTATCGACGGAACTAGAAAATATACTTCAAAACGCAAGAATAAGCATATTATCAAAAATTTTGATGATCTACCCCCAGATTTCAAGGAAAGCGACGGTCTTACCTATCGGGAAACACCCCTCACACAGGAAGAAACTAGAGAAATTTTTGGAAATAACATAGATACGAGTACAGCAGATCGGGTATTGCGAGGCTTGCACGGTCGTCGGGTCTCAGGTACACTTGAGGATCCGTTGTATAGTAACACATTTGAAAAAAATATCGTATCTAAAGCGCTCGCATGGCTTCGAAAAAATGTACCGGTGGACGAAGATTTAAATGCTGGCTTAAGGGCCGAAAAAGAATTAGCCGAAATGGAGATAAATTTAGTTGAAAATGCAGAGCGAGTTGGTTTATATAAACCCAATGCCCGCCCCGGAGAGAATTTATATGGGGAAAGCGCATTCGATAGAATCAGAAAGTCAAATATTCAAAAAAGAGAAGCAGAGAATATCCTTGAAACAGATAAACTCAGTCAAGCTGACGAGGTTCAGATGAATAGTGGCCTACAAGAAGCACCTACCCTCCATTCAAGAGTTGAGCTTCGAAGACCAGGGGAACATCCATGGCTTAAGTACTATACTGAAAGAGCCAACGTCCTGCCTGACACTCCTCCAGTAATGACAGCATGGCAACGAATTTGGCCCTCTGGATTATTAGTCATTTCTGTTGTTGCTGCTAGTCTTCTTTTTACCCAAGTTTATACCCAACCTACAAAGTCAGCAAGGCTTTGGCCTGAAATACCTGTTTCGGCGGCCACCATAATCGGAATTATTATCGCTAATACGACTGTGTTTTGTATGTGGAGAATTCCAATGTTCTGGCGTTTTCTTAACAAAAACTTCATCATGTTCCCTGGATATCCAAGACCCCTCAGTCTCTTGGGGTGTTGTTGGTCTCATCAAACAGTTTCACATATTTTGCTGAATATGACTCTTCTGTACATTCTCGGTACTCGACTACATGAAGAAATCGGCCGTGGAAACTTCCTTGCCCTTTATGTCTCAGCTGGCGCCTTGAGTAGTTTCTTCTCCTTATCATGCTGGGTTTTTATGCAGAATTTTTCTTCATCTTCAGTTGGTGCGTCTGGCGCCGTCATAGCTGTTATAACGGCATATCTGCTGTCTCACAGTAGTGAAAAGATCAAGTTCTTCGGTATATTTCCTCCCGATAACTGGCCATCTATATCTGCATTGTTTCTACTCGGTATTCTATTATCCTTCGACCTTGTTGCTCTTCGCAAGTTTCATAGGACTGGTCAAGGCTTGACTGTCGACCATTATGGACATTTAGGTGGCTACGCGTCCGGGGCAACTTGGGCATACTTTTTGCACTCTGCAAAGGAAAAAAGAGCTACCGAGACTACCAAGAGCACTGCTACAAGCAATAAAAATTCCATCTAAAGACGAATCTTTCAAAGCATCTTTGGAAAGATACATGAAAACCGTTGATAAATTTACTAAATGATCCACAAAATTTTAGTTTATTTGAGAATAAGCATGAAGAAAGACTTGAAATCCAAGGCAGAGAAGTGTTAAGGTAAAAAAGAAATAAAATTTGTGGTGATGTTCGTTTTAGAATTCCCTGGAGTCTTTCAGTCGATTGGGCTCGACTCTCATGTAAGTTAAAATAAACGAAGATAGACTGTAAATCTAGAGTTGACATTAAAGTGCGAGGACATTGAATTGTCTAGATTTCCCTAAACCATACAAAGATGCAGGAAGCGGGATCTGAACACAATCAATTGGCCCTGCCTCATCTAAGCTACTAAAGAATTAAAAAGTTGTAGTTGGGGTTTCATTACTTATTCGACATTCATGGAAATCCTTTACCTAACAACGACCTAACGCCTTTGATATCTAAATTCTACTTCTTTTTTTTCAATCATTTAATGTGTATGTAGCTTTATAGCTATGACACTAAAATTCAACTTCGCATCGTAGAGCAAAACAGATTTCTCTAAATATCGAGAAAGGAATGTCATTGCCTCAAGACCGCTGATTTAAAATTTTGCAAGAGAAGAACTTATCCTTCGGTTACTAGATGCTTTCATTTGTAGCTTATTTATTTAACCTTCAGAATTATTTAAATTTGATGTTATATTATGTGAATCAATCTCAGACTATGATCGAAGATGGCGATCCCGTATATCTACAGGACGCTACTTAGTACGCCATAGGCGGTATTTTACATCATATAACCCTTTGCTTATATTGAGGAGCTAAATTTGCATTCATTTACCAATTTTTAGCATCCATGTTGCTAGTCCAAAGACTGATCGTTTTTTCCCCTAGAAAGTAGTAGAGATTCATTTCTGTAGAACAGAATAAAATTAACCTTACTGCTGTGTCTTCGACTATTGAAAGAATCCATGCCCATATCTATAGGTAGGTTTCAAGTTAGCAGTCAAGTTTATCTGCTAGAAGATAAGGCTTACAAGAATGCGGTCCATCAGCCAATTATATGTGTCAAGTAATATTAGCGCGTAAGTGGATTTAGGGAAAAATATTGAGGTGATACATGTCATTTTTTTTCTCTCATATTGTACTCCTTCATGCTCTTGGATTATCTTTCTGGCCAACTTAGGGAACATAGCAGTAGAACCCAAGGTGATAATATGGGCTATCACCAAAACAATAAGAACAAAGAAAGCTGACCGTAATACAGTCTATTTTCTAACTATTTTAGAAATGGTGTCTATATAGGCGGATGGATATATGTAAATGTAACTCTAACTCCAGTGACGATAGTATCCATCTGTTATATTAACTAGGCTATATAGGAGCAGGACGATGGATACTCTTGGGGAAGTTATGCTCACAGTAGGTCTCTATAATCGCTGTCGCGTGTGTTCTGGTGATATGTAAGGCTTGACTCTGTATTCTCGTGTAAAGTAATCATAGTTACAGTTAATGGACAGAGGTTGAGACTTCCTTATATGTTGCTCCAGACTTACTGTGTTGTTCACAGCCTAATGCTAGAACATTCCCTTATGATATCATTTCTCTCCTACGAGAAATGACTGTGACGACCAGAAGGGAGCACAGGTTAGCAGATGAACAAGTCGAATCAGGTAAGGACTCAGATCTGGAATATAATTCATAAGATTCTAAACTAAGGGAAGAAAATAACAAGACGTATCTAGAGATATACATATATACATAATTTACAATTGGTCCGTGCGTATGTAGGATCACAACACAATACTTGGAAGGAACAATAATATTAGAGGCCCCGAGGGTCAGGAATACACGGCCGTAACAATGACCAGCTCGTTCTCTCTCAGTCTATCAGTCTCTCGCTGATTCCATTATCTCTATTCTATCAAGTTCTAGTTTGGTCCATGATACCCACACGTGCATTACACACTAAACACCGCGCGGTTTAGTTCCACAGTCACGTGCATCTACTATGACGTGACCTAAAGCATGTACCATGGTAAGTTGCATGGATAACACAACACCATCGGTTCGGAGATCGTCCGCACTCTTGAGGTGGTCCAGCGAAGATTAGTATTTGCCAGATCGGCGATAACTTCTAATTCCATAAATGGCTATCATCGATTCGTACATAGATAGATACAGGTACATAGGTGTAAGGCGCAGCCTGTAACAGTAATACACAAAGCTTGAATTTTATGTATCGAGTCATTTTTTCTGTACCTTTTCTCCGATACTGTGTCATAACTAGCTGGCTGCATACACAATTAAAATCTGATGCAAAAAAAAACCTATGATTTAGAGCTAGGGGGAACGGCTGCTCTAATGTGATTCCATATCTTGAGGGAGGACAGGCAGTCGGGACTTGTACATAGGAGGAAGAAAAGGGAAGATACGCAGAGGGGATTACCTAAATCCCCGATGATGACAATAACCGAATGGTACTGTATGAAGGTACGGGCTAGAGCAATGATGAGATCTTTGACGGCATTCATATTTCGGAGTCAATGAGGATGTTAAGGGCTCGCGCGCGTGGTGGCCGAGGCTGAGGAGGAAATTGCGCTACGGCGTGTATACAGCGGGTTTCTGGACGGTTAGGCTTGGTATGATTCAACACATAGATGAAGTCTGAGGTGGTCCGGTCATTAAAGTGGGACGAGGTTTATCTATACTTCACGGTAGTTAACCTGATCCGGCCCGGCCCCACCCGTGCTTAAGCTCTATCTTTTTGTATCAGAATTTTGTTGCTTATGCAGCTATCTAGCTATGACACAAAACCAGAGAAGTGTATAATAAATGACTTAATTAAGTCAACGCCACTCCCCACCGCCCTGGACGGCACAAAAGAAGTTAGGCTAAGCTACTATACAACAATCACGCTCTGTCAAAACTTCTCTGACATTTTAGCGCGTAATTCTGGAAGGAGTTAGAAGGAGGCTAGAAAGGCAGAGTGTGAATTTCCAGAGGTACCCACAAGTCTGCAGCGCCCAGCTGGCCGGCCTCTTCGAACGCTTCAGAAGGGGCAACATGTCTTCGGATTTATTCATAATGTCGATAGTAGAAGAGGCCGGACCCAGTAGTTTTTGCGAATTTTCGCGGCTGCCATACACCCGCAAATGGCCATCATTCCGTTAGCTGGAGTGTTAAGATTATGAGCACATACGGGTTGAATCTCTACCTTGGAGGATGATATATGTGTTCGTAGAACACCAACGTAGATATAGAAAAGTCTTGTGTTAACTGAGGAACGCTTGTATTCAGATGACTTTTGCTTGCTCCCAACCCTAGGAGATACATCTCATAATATACATGTCCTGGATAGCCATATCACAGTTCCTACACTATCCAGTACATTCCATTCCACTCTACTTCATACTTTCCGATCTCCTATCATTCCATTCCATACTATTCGATCCCATACCATTCCATTACAAATCTATGATGCCCCAATTATGGGTTGCCCTCAAGTCCATGTCCTTAGACTTGCATGAAATATTGGCATGCATAAATCTGCACAGATCTGGGATCTCTTGGCAGATTATAACATTGAGAGGGGAGATAATGATTGGCATAGGGCTCTACTAAGTGTATGATCGAATGAGGACTTGTGAGGGGTGGTACTATTTGAGGGGAGCTGTATGAGAGGAATAGGAGGGGATATACTACTGGTATAGGTATCCTTGGCCTGGAGGCAGAGAGGACCTGAATGTCCTACATAGTCATAGACTCAGACAAGACAATAAAATGAAAAAAAGACCTAATTTACAAGAAAAGCACCCATGCCTCGGATTTCATTTGCAAGTACCACTGCGAAGTTATGGTGGCTTTTTCTTCACCCCAAGTCAACCCTCATCCGTGAATACCCACCCAGGGGAACGTCTCAAAAACCTGGGTTATCCAGACATGTCTCCTTCATCTATTATCTTTCCTCCGCGCGAGATATCATCTAAGGCGTCTCCTTCACAAGTGGAGTATGTGCCCAGGCTACTCAAACTATACCAGAGAACACTACTTCTGAGGCGCCGTGCTCTGTGAGTATCAGGCTTTTGCCTGTCACGAACAAAAGTCCATCCATTCATCTATCTAAACTTAGTAAGAGTACCAAGAGAGTTGGCCTCTAATTTTCTAGCCTCATTGCAATCGCTCCAAAAACTTGATCATCGCATCTCAGCGAAGCAAATGACGAAATGCCTACAAAGTCTTTACATAAAGCATATGCTTTAAATTATCTGACCTATCTTCTTTGTTATGCGTGCGGAACTGAATAGCACCTTGTGTTGATTATATTATTAGGCATTTCTGTCAATATCGGAATCCCAGTTTAGCTTGCAAATTATTGCAAGACTAGTGGTTCATGGGAGACATCCATATCAGGCGTAATTTCCATATGTTCAATTTCTAGCTATTTTCTATCTTGTCTATTGTTATAATAGACTTAAATTATGTATCAAATACTTAAACAAGTTTTAATAAGGTTGCTTCCCCAAACCTGAGAACATATCATTCACAGCCCTTACAGTCTTTTCGTGATAAAAACACAGATTAACTCAATGCTTTGCAGTGATTATGATATATATATATATATATAACAATATGAGTTTAGCGTCAGTATTTGAGCTAAATCAAAACTAGTTTGCAGCAGAAAATGCATTCAAAGTGGGCATAGTGAAACAGAAAACACATTCCTAATGCTAATCTCTGCGAAGCCAATAAATAAGATAAATGCAGTCAGGGGATAAATTCAAAATACATCTTTGCATTCTAACATATCTATGTTTACGAAGCTCAAGAGTCTGCTCAGTTAGCTCGCTTGCTTCAGTGATAGAAGAAAGTCTTTGACGCCTAACCTTGTCAATGTCCTAGTGCCAAGAGCATTCAATACAACACTATCAACCATTTGATATTTTGATGGAACCAATGCCCAGAACAAGTCGGATAGCTTATCGCATTTTGATTTTCGCGTCTGCATACATTAATCCTAGCTTAAAAGCGGCAGCACCAACATTAACGTGAAATATGTCAAATCATACGCATGATTCGTCACTATTACCTACACCGGAAGGAGCTTCTGCTACAGGCACGCACAAAACGGAACAAGCACGATCTGTTGAAGTAAAATGCGGGCCTCTTCTCAATTTCCAGCGGATGAATGACCAAATCTGGTACGGAAGTGTGCTCATAGTAACGAGTCGTGGTCATAATATTGAAAATACAACAATTCCAGAACTGAGTATGACTACGGGTAAATCAGATTTGGATAGACTAGAGGATGAACAAGAGAGATTTTCCAATTCTACTGAAAACTGTGACGCTGAGGATGAAAAACACGCTGTCAGGGGCACGATGCTTTACTCTGATCTAGAAAACACATTCTGGAGATTCACCCTCAAAATCTCCATGCGGAACTATGAAATAAAATGCCAGTATTCCTTTCCAGACCTCTTTTTCCCCGCTCATGGTAAATCTCTACCCCAGACTTTCTTCATTCCGGCCATCTCTGAATCAATGAGAATTATGTTTCATTCTTGTAATGGGTTTAGTGTTGGGACCGACGAAGATGCATACAGTGGTGCTTGTCTTTGGAATGATGTTTCTAGAGTGCATAATAAAAGCCCTTTTCATGTTATGTAAGAAAAAAAGTTTTTTTTGAGACCCATAGGACTGACTCCAAACAGGATAGGAGGCGGAGACCAAATCTACAATGATGGAGTTCGAGTTAAAGGCCCACTAAAATGTTGGACCGACATCACTAATCCACATGAAAGAGAAAGATTCATATTTTCTAAAAAACTTGAGGAAGCTTGTGATAAATACTATGTGAATAATTATCTACAATGGTACGTCTACTTGCCCAGATCTATCAGTACATGAAACAAATGAGATAAATCGGCAGGTTTGCATTAGAGCCCTTTGCTAGTTGCAATGGGCAGATTCCTCAACTCAATATTTGGGACGACCATGATGTGAGTGGGCACCTCCAACCTCAAATTGGCAGCGATTTAATCTTTTTAACTTAGATTATTGATGGGTTTGGATCATATGTTGATCGTTTCATGAAGTGCTCTGTTTTTAGAGGAATCGGAAGGGTTGCACACAAGTACTATCTACTATTCCAACATCATCTAGTGCCATCTCTCCCCGTGCCTAACGCAGGTAAAAATAAGGAGCCTTCACTCATGTATTCGGCTAACCATTTCACGAGATGATGTTCAAGTCAAAGATACTGGAGGCGCCAAACTCGGTTCAGAAGGACCAGTGATTAACTTTGAACAGTGCGAGTTAAATTCTATTTCTAATTATATAATCGGCGCAAAGCCAGGGGTAATGATTTCTAACTCATATTATAATATCTTCAGTCTAATGTTGTAACAGCCTTATCTTGTTGAACGCTCATTAAGCATTTACACAAAACTCGGTGCCAGAATAGCATTTCTGGGTATTGACGCTCGAACTGAGGTAAGAAACTCTTTTTCAACAAGAATGCGACTTAAGATTACAGCGGACTCGCAACCAAGTCAATTATCCAGAGACCTATGATATAATCTTCGACAGACTTCGGAAAGAATTGGATGAAGCAAAAAAAACTTCAGCAGTGAATCACTTAATAATTTTATTGGGCATCCCAATTGCCTATCCAGTAAAATCCTCGCAAATAAACTTTTTTTGAACTAACATTCTGTAGCGGCTCACCTGGCTGGAGAATATCTTTACGAGCCCGCTCATAGCTCCTATTAAATTCTTGAATAAGAGATTTGGATATGGTTAGTCGACAAAATTATCCTCGACCACAATTTGTTTCTTAATTTATTATAGGTGGAAGTTTTTTCAATCATTTCGATGGGAACGTCGATCTACTAGATGACTTGGATGGTACGTAGTTGCTTACCTCACATTATTTTTTGCGCTTATGACTTTCAACTCAAATCCTAGTGGCCTGGCATTCAAATTTTATTTGTGACACTTACTAACCTGAAGGCTTGAGTGTAGATCATTATACAGCACGCACACATAAGAAAGAACGTTTATTCCTCATGCATCAGCTTCAGGCTATTGCTTCAGAATACTCAGTTAGAATTAGTATCTTAGGAGGAGATGTACACTTAGCTGCTGTTGGGCGATTCTATACCAACCCAAAGCTTCATGTTCCAATCATTAAAGATCATCGCTATATGGCAAATATAATATCCTCAGCAATTGTGAATAAGCCCCCTCCACAAGCCGTGGCCAATTTATTAGCAAAAAGAAATAAAATTCATCATTTAGACGAAAATACTGATGAGACTTTAATGAAGTATTTTAATGGAGACCAAGGAACGATACAAAAGTCTCGTTCAAATCTTGTCACAATGCCTAGACGAAACTGGACAATGCTAACAGAAAATTACGATACTAGCTCTCAACGCATCAATGGTTCCGATTCGGCTCAAAAAAATCTTCATAGTGATATAGTATTTAATTTAGAAAGCGTCAAAGATGGGCACTCGTCGTTGCATGGCGGTGAGGTTGATGCCGGTACAGCCCATAAGGCTGCAAATCCTGAAGAGCACGGTCATGGCTTCGATGGCAGTCTAGATGTATCAATTCGAGTCGAAATAGACCAGCATGACCGACAAGGGAAGACACAAGCCTACGGAATGACTATTCCAAAACTTACAATGCGAGATGCAACAGAATAATTCGGTGCATAGACCAAACTATTTCCAATTATTGGATTAATCAGTTTGGGTGTACTATTATTCTTCAAATTTTCGATCATTTTCGCTGTGATTAGACTCTCCTTGATGAGAATTCAAGATTAGGTGATTTTCAACTTTTAGGAGATGAAGGGATCAAGTTTGCGATTTACCACTTGCAGTAAAATATGTAGTTTGTGGGGGGAATTTTTATATTATACTAAGCTAATAGTAATGATTTAAAGGCTTCATCTTAACGGCATAAAGTGTGAAGTCATTGGGTGATATTGTTCAAAAATGCATTATCAACAGAGTCTATGAAAGGAACTAATTCTTGTCGCAACACGCTCAGTGTAACGCCCAAGAAAGCGATATTGAGGTCGCTAAGCCCTCAAGATTCTTCGGACTCCAGAACTCCGAAGCCCAATCCCTCCTCCATGGAGGCGTTCTTGTTCGAGGAGATAACCGCCTGATCTGCCCTTTTGGCTGCAGCTGGTTGTCTTATCATAGTTACTTATTTAGTTAGGTCTTCAACCGAAACCTTTTATCTATCTAGATGTTGGACTGGTAGAGCTGGACGAGATTTACCCATCAGGCTTGACCTGCTCTTTTACACCTATCAATAGCTAATAAATCTTGAGATCATTAAACAAGTAATGCAGTAAAGAAGAAATGAAATGAACAAAGGAGATTATGACCGGCAGTGATTTAGAAATCCTCATCCCGATCTCCCTTCCACCAGCGTATTTTTGCTGGCATTTACCCCTAGACCTGGTTGTCTTTTTGTTATAAGTTTTCAGATTACTTATGTCAATTAATCAATCCCACATACTTCCAGATACCTCCATAACTAATCCGTTCTGAGGGTAATGATTGAACACGTGTACGCGGTGTACTCTACGAACCTGGGAGTGAAATATTCTCCCAGAGCCAAGTTCATTCACATTTTGCACTACCGAACAAGTTGGCCCATGAGACTATAATTAAATGCTCTCCACCAAACGATATAGATCCACACAAAAACTCATCAATTTTACAGGAGAATTAATCATCCTCATGTCAGTGACCACACTTCACATCGACTTTTCTCTGGCCTTATCAGACTACCAAATAAACTCCCACGCTGATATTTATATCCCATGGAGGAAGCAAAGCATTGCACACAAGCATGGGAGACAGTTCATTGGGATTGACTTGAGAGAAATCAGGACGAGGAGAAAGGGTGGTGCTACCGTTGGATACGAACTCGAATGAGGTGAGATTTAAAAGTTAAGCTAGTAATTTTACAGATTGAGCTTAGTGTGGACCAAGGCTTCGATTACGAGACTGCAGGCGACACTTTAATACCGCCATGGTTTGATGTGCATTGGTACTTGACCCGAGCCCATCTCCCAAGTAGAGTCTGGATAGCTAGGACACATCCCACTCGAGACAGGAGATTGTTGGTTCGAATCCGGCAAAATTCAACTACATTTCTCGCGGTACAAGTTTCTACGGTTGAACCGTGACAATTAGATAATCAAAAGTATTGAAACTTTCCTCTTCTGGATACTCGCGGAGGAGGGTCGACTATTTGTGTAAGCAAGTATACCTTGTAGCGGTATTTCCGAATGAAATACAGATTATGATTGTCACAAACATCTTAGGAATCATCTATCAAATACAAATACAAATAGCACTGATCATATGTCATAGCCAAATAGTTGTATACAGGTCAAATGATAAAAAAGAAACCCAAATCTCGGACCGTAATTCTCTCACCAACAAGCCAATTACTGTGCCAGCGGGTAAAATACCAGAAAGGATAGTCAAATCATTGCGAAGTATGCAACGAAAATGCTTGAAGATTGTTATAGGGTTATATAACTCTACTAGCACTAAGGTACTAGAACACGAGTCTTTGGCTCTCCCGATATATATCTACCTGAAACAAAAGAGGGTCAAACACGTCGGACTATCAAAGGACTACCTCTCAAGAGAACGATACTATCGGCATGCAGTAAAATCAAGCAGACCACAAGGGAAACCGATAACAGGCACGCCAAGAATTGAAAGCTAGACATTGAAGAATGGACCAGAATTTGCGACCTGGAGAATGCGAAAGGGAGACAGAAAGATGCGGGTAAGGTAGCAACGTTTCAGGAGTGAAAAAACTCATGGACAGGTCCAGGGAACGAGAAACTCTCTGGTCATCGAGCTTCGGCAGACTCTGAAAATTGGAAAGCCGCAAATATTGTTACATATACGACAATAGGTAGGAAAAGGATAACCTGCAGAAACACACCCTCAAATATCCACCGGAACCTTAGTAGGGCCCAAAGCAGTATTGCAGTTCAGATAAGAAGTGAGCCATTGATCTCAATTCTTATCTGTATCGAAGGAAAGTATCCGGAGGGATGAATTCAAAATGTCAGTATGGATATCCGTCTCAAAATGTCAAACATATGGTCTTGGCGTGTCCTCAGTGGGCAATGGGAAGAGGAGAGGTGCTTCGAAAGGCGAAAGACAGGTTATTTGCGGCAATGATGAACAGCTCAGATGATATAGAGAGAATCACAAAATGGATCCTGGCAAAAGACTGGTTTGAACAATTCCGGCTTGCAGGAGAAGTAGAAATAGCATTGGGCGAAAAGATGAGACGATGTGGACAAGGATAAGATGGAACTCACACTGTATAAACAGTGTGTAGGCACCTCCTGTAGTAAACTTCAGAAAACAAATAGACACGAGATAGACAGTTATGGGGGGTTTTTACCGAATTGGTTTCCTCTCTTGTAAATATTATAGGTAGATATACCTGCATGGTGTTGAAATTATGGAGTACAGAGATAAGTCAGGTGATGGTTAATGGAAGTAATTGATGAAGGGGGGATTTTTTTATTTTATTTTATGGTCCTAAGCTAAGCTCTATATCTCCTAGGAGTCAAGGACCGGCGTACACGGCCGACATCATGCTTCCCACATGCCCAACTCGGTCTCACCGCGTGAACCACTACACAACAAGTAGCTAGTTAAAAATAAAAATAAAAACACCCATAAATTCCCTTTAACAAAAAATTTCAAATGCAATACTCCAATTTGTGGTGGGAAAGCGACACTTCTCGCCTCGTTTTCCTTCCTGCCATGCTTCGTGCTATGACCTAATTAATGTCCTCTACACTGAGAGCTGGAGACGGACTCGCAGGTTGGCCTCCGAAGCAGCCGGTTTCCTGCACAAAATATGTAAAATTCTCAAGGCACCTAGGCCCGAGAAGCTTTTGGACAAAGTCGTGATGTGAAGTTGTCTGTTACGGTTTGACCGCTATTTGAGCTTAGGTGAATACCTAAGCGGATTGTTGGGAATATTTACAACTAAGCGGCACTACTAGTCAGGAGGTCGAAGCGTTACTACAACTAAGTAACACCTGGCAATGCGTGGCTGGGTAGCAAGTATTGTGCCTAAGGATAAGTCACCAGTCTGGAGATTGACGAAGGGGACCAATTATTATAAATACCTGTTAGTCGTAGCTAGAGTTCTCTTTTCTCCTCATATAGTTTAATAAATCGATTTATTCACAACCAACTCGGTTTCCATCACATTGTCCCTTGAAGTCGACGCGTTTGGCGTGCGTGCAGTCGACAGTGAATAAAGTGGAGAGGCGATGTTTCCTCCCCACATGCACACTCCATTGAGGCGGCAAAGTTATTGAAACGACGATGGCATGCAGCGAAGTTTCCGTGTCCCGTACGAGCTGAAATCAGTTCACGAAGTAGTCGCCGAGATAGTGCCAGCTCGCATGGCTTGCTTCGTCGCATGAGAAGGCCCAGATTACAATATCTAGGTGGACATACTTCTTCCCACCAGTCGTCAAGAAGCGTTTGCCTGTTCCGGTTCATGAGCCGACGAACGTACGCCAACGTGACGGAGCCAGGCTGGCTCTCTTTACTTGGCAGTTGTCGGAGGCCGGAGCGTGCAGCTCTATCGGCCTCTTCGTTTCCCTGTATCCCGGAGTGGGCTGGTATCCACTGAACCGAGACTCGAGCCTTTTCTGATAACGCTCTAAATCGTCGCACGTCGTCGAGACTTGTTGTGGCAGTTCCCGTCAGCAGTGCCTTCACTGCAGACTGACTATCCGACAACACGTTGATCCACTGCCTGCCGTTACTTCTCCCGTTCTCCCTCTCCAAAAATCCCAGCGCGGCTTCCAGGGCCTTTGTTGCCCCTACAATTTCTGCATCAAGCACTTCACCACCATGCTTGATGCCGTATCCCTTCAATAGAGCCTTTCCATCCCTCTTCAAGACGAAACCCCATGCTGAGCGACCATGGCCCTCCAACGATCCATCCGGGTAGGCACAAATACCGATGCTAGTACATCTCCAAGTAACCGAGTAACCTTTTCCTCCTCCTCTATCCTTGGGCCGAAGCTCGAATAATAGCACAGCGGCGGCAGAGGCTTGGCGTCTTCCGCGTCCGGGAGTTGTCGGTAGGCCCGCTGTACTCGTGAAATCTGGATCTCCGGATTTTTGGGTACCCGAGCAGACTTCTTGTACTTCCGTGTTCCATCGTTTGGAAACACGTCGGCACGATTCCTGAGCGGGTGTCCAGTGAGTGCAGCCGAGCCGAAAACTGTAAGCGGTTCCCTTCCAGAATGATCTTTCTAGTTGGGATACCTCCTTCTCGGTGTGAAACAAGATTCGGTGTAGTTCTCATTACCGGGAGGGCAGCGCGCAGTCCCATCAAGATTGCCTTGTCAATCATCTCGCAGAAAATTCTGGTTCGAGGTGTGATGATTCCCCTAATGGTCGGACGTTTGAGGCCGGGCCACCAAACATCTGATCCAAAAGTTGCTATTGGGACAATACAAGTATCCACTGCTCGAACCAGTGCCGCAGGAGCGGCTCCTCGATACGCTGAGTTGAAACGGCGCATATGCTGGGCAACCTTCAACGCCTCTCCACACCAAGTTGTGACATGGTGTTTAAAGTCCAGTCGCGGGTCTAGATGTACACCAAGCCAGCGT